CTATACCTGCTGCTTGTTCTTACACTCTCTTTTTGTTCTTATGTAGCGAGCAACGCCTCTCATTCACCCCGGGAGACAGTAGTCCAGTCAATCCAGTGTGCCCAGCTGCCCCAAGATCAGCGGACGAGACCGGCTCTGTTTTATTTATTTTTGGAGCATTAAATACGTTTTCTTTTCTACCTGGGTTCGAATCTGCATTTTTACTGGGTCCTAACAACTCACACACAGCGTATCGTAACAAGCCAACTTTCCCTATGCTTAAGAGAATGATTTAAAATATGAATTTAATATTCATTTGACTTATTTGATTCTCTTTTAAAAAGAGAATTCATTTATTTAGTTTTAAGCCATGCATCTATCAAAAAATCTGTTGGCTAAATGTTCTTGAAACTAAACCCTGACACTAACCCCTAATTCCCACTAATTATTTAATATTTAGAGAGAGAAACATTAGGTTTTACACCTATCAGTCTTCAGAGAGCATCAGACTATGTCTGTGTGCAGGTGGTCAGAGCTAAAATAATAAAATCCCTTTGATGTAATAGCCATAATCTAGGGGATGTTGCACTGGTCTATTCTCACAAGAAAGATGACTTTATGATATGCAGGTATAAGCTGTAAATCAATAAAACAATAAAAATTGGATGCAGGGGAGGTGGGGGTTGTGGGGGCAAGGTGTGAAAAATCATGATGTTATCATGGTCAAAACTCGTCTTCACACCTCAGTTTTGACAAGTGCTGTCCTTTATTACTCTCTGGGGAGGAAAAACACAAAAATAATCCAATCCAGTGCAGTAAAAATATAACTGGTTTTGTCTGAAAGCAGCTCCATTACATTAAAGTATTACTTAAACAATTTCAGTAATAACTTAATTTTCAATAACACATTCATGCTCATTTTTCACAAAAAAAAGTGAGAGACAATGTCATTTCCTGTCACCATCTTCACTTAACAGAAAAGACAGTATGACCTGAGAAACTGATTAAAATTGCATTTTGCCTGGACTGGACTGGATTATTTTTGATTCTGCATCATTAAAAGAGTCTGGACATGTGCAGAGGAGGGATAGTGGTTATATTAGTAGAAGGATGTTGGAGATGGAGCTGCCAGGCAAGAGGTCAAGAGGAAGGCCAAAGAGGAGATATATGGATGTGCTAAAAGAGGACATGAAGTTAATTGGGGTGAGGATGCCGAAGATAGAGTTAGGTGGAAACAGATGATTTGCTGTGGTGACCCCTAATGGGAACAGCCGAAAGAAAAAGAAGATGAAGATCATTAAAAGAGTATATGAAAATACCTTCAACGTTTGAATGAGTGTTATGAAACCACGGCATGGGGTTAAAATGTTCAGCTAGTTTCAAGTGAGAAAGCTCACTGAAAATGATCTCTCAGTGTATGCAATACAGGAGAGTCACAAGCTGGAGATATCCCCAGGTCTGCTTCTGCTGAAGAGTCCTGGACCAAGCCCAAACCCCTACCTGCACATTTAATTCACATAAGAGCATTATCAAATGCCTCACCTAATGTGGAACTCCACTGCTCAAAGTGGGGAAATTAATAATCTTTTTAACCACAAAAGTAAACAGACCTATAAACATAGAGTGTCTTAGCAGGATGGTACAACTTCTTGTTGAAGATGACACATTTTGCCATTATTGAGTTGATGTGACCTCTTAAAAACCCAGTTAAGGGGTTGAACAGTCATGTTATTCATTGGTGGTTTTAACAAATCAGTTATTTAGAGCTCACTATACACTGAGCATGAAATTTCATTTTTTACCTTGCAAATAGTAGCAGTTTGAAAGATTGACTGATGATACCAGAGGTAAAAATCATGCTCAGAGCCTACTCCATCAGGATGGTTGCTTCAAATTAGGCTATATGAAACCTATTAGAAAGCCCAGAAAATGAAGATGAATTTACCAGACCACCACAGGTGCTTATTGATGCCAGAGAGTCTGTGTGATTGACAATGAAGCCTGAGTAAAAGCAGAGCTGGTTCATGGATAAATGGCTGACCACTGCAGTCTGGTTGCTGTGCCTCTCCTCCACCACGAAGTCCCCTGAGAGAAATGTGCTTTCCCGTGTCAGATTTAAATACAGGTTCACCCCAAAAGCAGGCAGTAAAATAAATATGTTGTCCGGGTCAAAGTATCCTTTCCCTGGTGCATCCAATGAACGCCGCCAGCGGTGCTGCAAGTTGGTGTGATCGGTGGACAGGTGCACGTCTCGCTTGGACAGCAGCCTGGGAACCACTTCATCTGTCTCCCATTCAGAATGGACTGTGGAGAGGGACAGATTCAATCAAACTACATCTGCAAAGGGCAAAAAAATCTGTCCTGATTTGCTGCACAGCCTGAATTGTTTCTCTAATGCTCCGTGACTCTAGTAGCCGCATTAATCTTCTAAGTTCCACTAATGGCTTGCAAGCATCCGTAGCCTGTGATTAGAAACAGAGCTGGTGTTCAAGATTAACCACCGACCCTGTTAACTGGGGACTTTCAGCTGAATGTGTCAGTGGTTGCTCATAGGTACAGCAGATGTTGAAAACATAAAATGGGACTTGCAAATGCCACTCTGTGTAGTCAATAGTTCATGAAAATATAAGTCACATATTTAGTCTTGATTTGATTTGATTTTTGATTTTGATTTTGACTAATTCTTTCAAGCATGTAAAGACAGTTGATATGACAACACACATAATTTTACACATAATCCAATATCAATTTGCTTATACCTAGTACATGCTTGAATGGAGTAGGAAGAAGTCAGACTTATCCAGTCCTACCCCATGACATCATCTTACCATCATTGGTTTGCAAGCAGTAAATAATTCTCTTCTACACCACACAAGTAATATACTAAAAAATTATAACAGTGTTAACCTTCTTACATAATTACATTCTTAAATAATTATCTTCTACACCACACAAGTAATATATTAAAGAATTATTACAGAGTATTATCATTCATACACCACACCCACAATGTTCCATCTAATTAATCATTGAGCCTGTTCTTGCATATATCTTGATTGACACATACCTTTATATTTATGTTTAAACTTGTCAATTCTATTACTATTTTTTATGTCTACACTTAAATTATTCCATAGTTTTACCCCACTTATGGAAATACAGAATCTTTTTTTGGTTGTACGTATAGCATGAATTTTTAAATTTAATTGACCCCTTAAATTGTATCCCCCTTCCCTTTCATTAAATAGTTTTTGAATTCCACCAGGTAATAAATTGTTCCTGGCTTTATACATAAACACAGCAGTCTTATATCCCACTAAATCAAAACATTTTAACAATTTAGACTGTATGAAAGCTACATTGGTGTGATCCCTGTACCCCATCTTATGCACAATTCTTATCGCTCTTTTTTGTAATATATACAATGGTTGAAGTGAGCTTTTGTATGTATTTCCCCAGTTTTCAACGCCATACTCTAAGTATGGTAAAATCAATGAGGAATACAAAATGTTGAGGGTAAACAAAGGAGTGAGCTGCAGTGCCTTACTGAAGTAAAAAAAGTCTTTAGGTGGTCCATAGATAACCGTTCTTTTTAGACTTGTTAAGGTGATTGTTACAATTTAATATAATGTATGTTTTTCATCACCTGATTTTCACATCACAACTGTCAGACAGATTTCAAGAACCAAGAACAAAGGACTCTCCCCCTCCATTCTAGCACCCAGATTACTGTTTTATGGCTATTTATTTGATCACAGACTCTGAACTTACTTCCCTATACACACCCAGACTTTACAAGTGAACTTCAGTATGTAACTTGTTATAATGCTGTGAATAACTAATACCAGTATCATTTCATGTTGTTAATTATGCTCAAGAGGAGATGGTATGAAATCTGACAGCAATCCAGATCTCTCTATCTTGTTCAGAAGCCCAGACAAGTTCATTCATAACGGGATCTTCCTGAGTCTTTCTCAAGAAGGCTCTCTGAGAACCAACATTGCCCCCATCTGACACCATGCATTGTATGTGACTCGGATAACTTGTCCAGTGGTCTATGAGACTAAGTAAGTGAAATTATGTTATGACTTGATCATGTAAGATTTGAGTCTTATAGACCCTAGTTACTTTATCAGCTTTAGTTATTTCTCATACCTGTAGTTCCTTTTAGTTACCTTTCATAACTTTATCTTACTTGTTTATGCATATTACAGCTGTATTGATGATTGTCCAGAACTACTGAGCTTTGGTTATTTTAATGCATTTGTTTCCCTTGCTTATATATCCTACAGCTGTAATGAAGCAGAATCTGCTTACTTTGAATGCTGTAAGTTCTGTGTAGAGACTAGATGTCTGCATCTCTTTTGCTGTAACTTCTGTGTAGAGACTAGATGTCTGCATCTCTTTGTGACCAGACAGCCTTTTTACATTTTAGCAAAGGCCTGTTTTACACTCACACCTAGACCCACTTAGCATATTCCAAGTTCTGCTTTATCTTGGGATGTCCTGCAGAGACCAGGGGCCCACAACCTGAGATGACCACCTGGCCAGTTTAACATACAAATTAGCATCACACACACACACACACACACACACACACACACACACACCTGGTGTAGAGCACATTCCAGCAAGAAGGTGTGAGCTCCCGCTCACCAAATGACCAATTGGATTACAATGCATGAATTGTTGTACCTATGTTTAGTGCAGAGCAGCCCAAGAAGATAAAATGCATTGTAAAACATGATTCAGGATTCAGAAGTTGGTTTTCCTGCGGGAGCTCTGGCTCTCTGAATCCAGCGCTGTAAGACTTGCTTGTAATCAGACTTTCAGTAAACTTTCTGTTGATTTTAAACAGTCCTCTCCTGTCGTCACTTCTCGTGCTTCCAACAAAAGAATTGGGTTAATTTCTAACAAAAAGGTTAGAATCTAACAATCAAATGTATGCTCTTGACTCACATAAAGTCAGTAGTGTCAGGTTTGGCGGGTAAAACTACCAAATAATGTTTGTAGTGAACTCAATTATATAGTCAGACGAACTGAGGTAGAGAATAGGTTTTTTACTAATAACAATAGTACAAGTCCAGAATCAAAATCAGATCGATAATACAGTCCGAGGTCAGCGGTAAACATCAACAGCCAGGAGATCCACAAGAGAGAGGTCAGGGAGGAGATATCAGTGGGTAGGTAAACAGCAGGCAATCAAAATCTGGGGGAAATAAGGCAAACACGGTGGTCAAGGCAATCCGGGGTCAGAACAAGATAATGGAAAGTCAGAGCTGGGGTCTAGAACAATGTGGCAACTTCCTGGTGTTGCCAATCTGGGTGATGAGATGCAGGTGAAAACAATACCAGCTGATTAAAGTAAAGAGTCCAAAACTGAGGTGAACCAAACAGGAAGTACTTCCAAAATAAAAGCCCGGGACCGGAGCTGGAGGGACAGAATCCTGACAAGTAGTGCTTTATTATCCCATAGAGTGCCTAGAGCCACTGGTCTACCTCAAAGTTGAATCCCAATAATTGAATGTATGTCTATCAGAAAAAAATTCATAACTTCAAATGTTAAAAGCTTACAATATTAAATGTTTATTTCTGAATTCTTGAATTAGTCCACATCTGAGTACAATGTAATGCTGTGTTAAGACACCCTTAACCTCACTTTGTCAAGTTCTGATGCAGGACAGAACTTCTTGTATGTAACTAAATGTAACTGATAAACCAGCCACATAAGGGATGACAGTGTTATTCCCTCGTTTCTGGTTTCTCCCTGTTGGTGTTGGGCCTCTTCCTTGCTTCGGTGAGGAAGAGAACTTAAAAAGGAACTTTCATAACCACAATATCCCAGTTAACTTTAAGCCAGGGAACACCCTGCGGCAAAGACTGGTCCACCCGAAGGACAAAACACCCAGACATAAACAGAGTGATGTGGTGTATGCAATTAAGTGTAGTCAGGAATGTAATGACTTGTATTTTTATATACTCAAGTGGTCTGAGTCGTCCCTCGGAGTTCCTGGTTTGAAAGAACCAGATGAGGCTTTATAATGGTTTACAGCCTTTAACCTGAAGGACAAAGGACATTCTTTTGAGGACAGTGAAGTCCAGATCCTCTCCAGAGAACATTGCTGGTTTGAGAGAAGAGTTAAGGAAGCAATTGTTGTAAAAATAAAACACCCCTCACTAAATAAGGGTGGTGGACTAAGACACAACTTCTCATCCATCTACAACTCTGTTTTGAGATCTCTGCCCAAACATGCCCACCAGGACAATAGGCGTCGGTCGACAGGGGAGGATTCAAAGACAGGTAACGACTCTCACCGATACAGGGCTATAACAACTCAGTCGTTAAGGGACATTGTTGGCCATCAAAGGACTGAAACACCACCGAGGGGGAGAAATATCTCTGGCTCTACACCAGCTGGGCAGGACTGATGAAGCCTCTTGGATGAGAGGGGAAATGTCTTTGACCTAAAACCAAGTCCAGTTGGGGTTTTTTTCTGTTTTTTCAGCTTACTATGACCTGGATGACTGAGAATCTGCACAGACATAAAGGACGTTCACCTTCTGCTGCCAGTGTCACAAGTGGACAGTACAGCAAACCACAATGACATTAATTAATTTGAATCCCTTTGTTAGGGTGATTTTTATTTTTAAGTAGTGGCTCTACACCAGCTGGGCAGGACTGATGAAGCCTCTTGGATGAGAGGTGAAATGTCTTTGACCTAAAACCAAGTCCAGTTGGGTTTTTTTTCTGTTTTTTCAGCTTACTATGACCTGGATGACTGAGAATCTGCACAGACATAAAGGACGTTCACCTTCTGCTGCCAGTGTCACAAGTGGACAGTACAGCAAACCACAATGACATTAATTAATTTGAATCCCTTTGTTAGGGTGATTTTTATTTTTAAGTAGATATGAATAAAATTAGTTAAGGTTTTTATTTTATAGCGCACATAAGTCTATATACTTAAATCTCACAGTTATATTTATGTAGTTACATATCACCCTATGTGTTCACTGAATCACTGGTCAATATTTATAGTGTTAGCCAACTGGAGCACTGTTTAACATCAAAGGGACTGGTTGACTAAAACACTGAATCTCATTAGATTTACAGCTTTGGCAAAAAGGGTCCACAGTGAATTTACTATCACCACCTGGCAGATGAGCCCAGGGGAATTCGGGCTCACTGAGACACTATGGTCAGTAAACAGAGATTAGATCTGAAGCCAGGAAGAGGAGAAAACTTCAAAGGTAAAACCATGTGCACACACAGGCAGAGCAGTTTTAATTGGAACTGGAAAGCA